TTTGTTGTGCTCACGTTATGGTTCTTTTGGTCATGGATGTCAGGTTCCATTGCTTTCACTAGTCTACATCTATTGCAACGGGGTGAGCTGGGATTCTTTCCCATTTCCATCCGCAGGAATGAAAGCTTCTGAAAGCAACCACCCTAGATCTACATATTGTATGAGATAGACGGCATGCTGCGTCAGTTCCGCCCTACTAGCCTTCCTCAAGTGACGTCTGGTCGTACTTTGATGGAAATAATTTTGAATATTGCAAGTAATTAGTTTGAAGTAAGTAGAGCATCAGTCAGCTTCACGGATGACGAGGGCCCATCCAGTTGTCGACTTTTCAGGCAGCTGACTGGTCCGTAGCATTTTGTGCTACGACTATTTGGCACAGTCCGAATTGTGTTCTGGTATACATTTGCTGTTTCACAGTACAGATAGGTATCAGGCCGGTTGATTAGCTTCACAATACCCGAATCTGGAGAAGCCCTACTTAATACCTTGTGCTAGAATCCAGTTGTTATGGTCTGCGTGGTAAAAAACACCCTTCCAGATAAGCTGCACGGATTAAATCGTGTAAATCTGCTGTTACGCCGTTCCCTTCCATATCTGCCTTGCCTTCTAACTTGACAGCTCAGCCAATACTAGTAGTGGCGAAAGCTATTTGTTATTTTCGGTGTCAATGTCACCATCCTGCCCTTCACCTTGTCAGCCATGAGTGGCATGAACAGCATTCTGCCAGCTTACTTATTCCCTTACTTCAGCTATCCTCTCGTAGTTGTTCAACTCCCTTGTGCCTATTCAGTTTCTCTTAGCACCATCTGTTTTTGATTGAATATAAAGCCATCGAATCTACTCGAAAGGTTTTTTCGAAAATAAATCGACTTTTCAAAGAGCGCAGAGTTTTTAAGCAGTTCACTTCAATTCTTAGGAATTTCCAGGGATTTCCACCGATTTCATCATTTCCAACACCATTTTGGTGTCGTACACTGGTAATATTGTTTCGTAGAAGCTCTGATTCTGNTGTTCAACTTCCCTGTCCCCATTGGGTTTCTTTAATACCCAATGTTTTTGGTCGAATATAAAGCTATCTGATTCTAGGTAACAGCCATTTTTGGAAATGAATCAGCTTTTCAAAGAGCACACAGTTTTGAAATAGTTCACTTCAATTCTTAGGAATTTCCACGGATTTCCACCGATTTCCGCTGGTAATATTGTTTCGTAGAAGCTCTGATTCTGTTCATTTTTTTTACCTTGCAAAACGATATCTTTTGTTGCTTGCTTTATGGCAGGGTTCATTTTTTGTCTGATTTTTTTCCATTAATTAATCATTCATCAAAAACAGCTGTGAATCATTATTTGCTCGAAAAAAAAAACTATTGAAACAATGGCGATTGATGATTTTTAAAAGTAGAACTGAACTGGGAACATTTTACTTTCTTGAGCCTGTCTATGTTTACATGTTTATTCTAGCAGAAATGTTTCAGTCGAATGAAAAAAGAGGAGGTAAAATTAGTAATACATAAAACTTTGAGCTATTAATCGTAGCATTACTAAAGATCCTGTCTCAAAGTGGTCAAATTGGGACGAAGTCCAACTTTTTGCTGAAATTTTGCATAAATTAGAGTTTCAATAGGATTCGAAACGACTTTTGAGCAGATTTTTGGTCTCCCATCAGATTTACAAGGCCCTGCTATGTGGAAATCGAAGCTTTTGCCCGCTAAAAAAATCAAAGTTAAAGGTTAAAGTTTCTCTGCAAAAATTCCGATGGAACGAAGCTCCGTCATCCAGGTCGAGATTCATTCTGAAAGTCTGAACCGCATCAGTCTCATGCTCCTTCCTGGGCTTGCAACAGGATACACTGATTTCGGGACCTTGTGCCGACTATATCCAATTTCACTGAAATTTTACTTGAAAGTTAGCCGAGCACTCAGCAAACATCAATTACGAGCGCTTCTGTTAGACTATGGGATCTACATTTGTAAAGAAATCTTTCCTATTTTGCTACGCTCTGCAAATCCCTCTCAATGCCTTTGTCTTTGTTCTCTTACATCCGTTCTGTTATAATTTACGGTATTCAAAGGGTAGGGGGAAGATTAGAAGGGAGGCCTAGCACTCGAAAAAGGAGTTCCATTTCTGTTCTGTTTGTGAACTCCGATTGCTCTAGCATTTTCGTTGCCGTTGTAAAATAACACTGCATTACTAAACTGAGCTTTTCATCCTCCGACGTTTCCGAACAAACTGTCTGGTAGATAGAAAACACATAGTGAAACCAATGGGTGGCTCCTTAAGTCCAATTGCATGGTCTAACTTCGTGGTGGTCTGCTCATAAAGCCACCAATACCATCCTGTTTTGCTCATTAAATCTTTGTATCAGTAGTCAAAGGTCTTCTGGATTTCAAGAACCTTTTAGCAGTTTCTGTAGATCTGAATTGAACTCGAATGTAAGGCGCATACCTGAGTAATCGATCAAGGCCGGACGGCCTTTGGTTCCCAATTGCTCTTTCATGTGTAGGTCAAGAATGCAAAGGCTTTTTTTTATATTTGCGAGTTCTTTGCTAACATATAACGTCTCGACAGCTATGAATAGAACCCGAATGCATGTCGCATACCTAAGGAATCGACCATCGAGCATATACTCATCGTTCCCGATCACTACTTCAGGAGCATGTCAAGAGTGATTCTACTTTTTGTTATATATATGTGAAATGTTTTTATAGAATAACTGATGCAGTTCTTGTTGTCTACCTTAGCAGCACGTCACGAGGCCATGGCTCAATGTGTTTTTTGTCCTCTTATTACCTGATTAACTTTTTTTTCGGAATTTTCTCCACATATATATCAGCTCGCCGTTACGTCACACATAGTCGCTCCTCACGAGGCGGTATCATGGAGCAACGAGTGGGAAAAACTTGTGTTGTCATGGTATTTGTAGTGCATACCCACGTAATTTAGCATTAGCACGGCAAAAACCTCCTCATTCAGTAATTATCTTGCAAACACGTACTCTCTCTTCATTTGAGCAGCTTACTTCTTCTTTTCAAAAGCTTCGTCTCCTGATCTTCACGTAGTCCTCTTAATGATTTAGGAGCGAAACTTCCAATATTTCCTCATGTAACCCACCCAGTTCATTTTTTGTTCGAGTTTAAATAGGCTACTTACAAAGCTGTTGAAAGCCAGTTCGTCCTTATCCTGCATGAGCTCTCAGGCCCGTGAATCCATTCTCTGTAAGCTACTAGTCGCAGTGAGCGGGTTGGAAAGCCCTAGTTGCAATCCGAACTTTCTTCGAATATTGGACCATACGCAAGGCTTCATAAACTGGGTCTCGCGAGTTGGTGACAACGAATTTTAGATTTCAGTCAACATCGAAGGACCATCTAACTGAACAAGCGTTTTGACGTCAAAGTGAAAATGTTCGCTGACGATTTGAAGATATATAGAGGCGTTGGTGATGGAGCTAATCAGCTTCAGCTAGCGATAGATGCCATTTCCCAATGGTCTGAAGGCAATCTTCTCCCTTTGTCTGCGCATAAAACTAAAGTGCTCCATCTTGGTCGGAACAATCCCAAAATACAATACCATATTAACGACGCTGTTCTCGATGCAGTTGATATGGTCAGAGATCTTGGCTTTGTTATCGATTCTAATTTGCGTTTCGAGCACCACCTGAAAAATATTATAGCAAAAGCTGACCAGAGAGTATTTTTGCTGTTCAAGACGTTTAAATCTAGGGACCCGACACTGCTTCTCAAAGCGTATAAAATTT